CGGCTTCGTGATGTGAGTTTAGTAGATTGCATAAGCTAACTAGATCAGATTTTCGGGAAGAGCAGAAGAATCTTTATGCTAATTCTTGGGTATTTATGTGTAGAACGAAGGGTATCATATTCGAAATTGGCGGGATCATGTGGTAGAGGATGAAATAGAAATTCTACATTCTCAGATTGATCGTCTCGAGGAGAATATCCAGAACAACGGAACAACTGGATATATCGCGGAAAAAGCAATTGTAGAGATGAAAGAAGGACAGGTTCGGAATGATGAGGAATTGCGAAGCTGGAGATGGTTCTTCTTGAGATGAACAAGAAGAAAATCAGTATAGAGATGACGTTTGGGGGTTGCAATACTTGTTCTTCTACTTGGTTTAGTTTTAATCGTTTTTAAGTAAGTGTATTGTTCTTATTTTAAGATGTTCGAAGAGGTCTTCTAGTTTTAACTCAGCCAAACCATGTATTTCAGTTGTACCTCGTAACTTATGTCATTTGTTGTACTTAATAAAACCCAGTTGAACCTAATAAAATTCGGTTGAACCGTAAAACTCACTCAGTCGAACCATGTATTCCAGTTGCACCTCGTTACTTGTGTCATTCATTGAACCTAATAAAACTCAGTTGAACCATGTATTTCAGTTATACCTCGTTACTTGTGTCATTCATTGAACCTAATAAAACTCGGTTGAACCATCTATTTCTGTTGTAACTCGTTACTTATGGCATTTATTGTACTTACCTTGTTAAACCTAATAAAACCCGGTTGAGCCGTAAAACTCACTCAGTCGAACCATGTATTTAAGTTTTATCTTGTTACTTGTGCCATTTATTGAACCTAATAAAACTCAGTCAAACCATGTATTTCGGTTGTACCTTGTTACTTATGTTATTCGTTGTACTTAATAAAACTCAGTTGAACCGTAAAACTCACTAAGTCGAACTTAATAAACTCAGTTGTACCTAAACAAACCAAGCAAATCCAAGTAGACCATACACAAAAAACAAGTACACCAACAACAAGCCAAGTACTTAAAGTTTTTAAAACAACACCCAAACAGATTCATAAAAACCAAAACAAGTTCATAAAAGAGAGGTTCCCAAATCATCTCATTTTTTCTTTAATGTTTGGCTTTTTTTTTTCTTTCATCTTTTCCTAGCCTTTTTTTTTCTGTTTCTGCCCAGCGAATGATAGAGTGTAACAAGAAGGTGTTTTTTTTTGTTCTTTCACTGGTTTTTCTGTCTCCCCCCATCATCCGCTAGACGCTCCTCATCCTCTTTATCTCCAGCTTCACCTCCTAATGTAAACATTTTCTTCTATGAAAAACAGAAAAAATAATAAATCTATCAAAGTAAAACTAATTTATTTACCTTCGCTGGTGTCACCATGAGCTTTGTTTCGCTGTTCCCTCACAAAAATTTCGACATCATTCAGTCTCTGATCAAAACCATCAACCACTTCCTTAATTTCCTTTACTATTGTCGCCATCCTCTCCATCGCTTGGATTAGCTCTCCAATGGTGCACTAGTTTCAGGTTCTTCTCTAGGGACTTCATTTACATTCTCAGTGACACCTATACCTGTCAAGTCCATATCATACAAATCTTTTCACCATATCTTCCTCCTTTTTCCAATTAGATGGTCTTTCTACAACTCAACGATTAGGTCAATATGGCATATCCCATCATCACAGTCATTGTCTACGATTCGCTCCATAAGAGCTTCCTCGTCCGAGTCAGGCTCCAAAATGTTAATGATATCCTGTGAATATCAACACAATTGTAAATTTAAAAACCAAACTCATATCAAATACAAAAATAACCATCACTCATGACTAATTCTCACCTAGTTCTTCCAATGATCTTGTTTATGTTTTCCAATGGAAAACTTTTCATGCAACTCTTGGCGAACTTGTGCTTACACAACCATGGACAATCTTTTTCTTAGGTGGAACAACATCTACTCGAAATGTGCGACCCATCACAGGAATACACTCATATGTAAAAGCATACACATAAAGTTACAATATCACAACCTTATATTCTTAAAACTAATAATTTGATACCAATGGTAAGAGTTACCTCCAGAGGATGAATGAAACCAGAAAAGAATGCATGAATATTTGTCTCTCACGATGCAGTTTTTGAACTTCTTTTTCTTCTCCTTCACCTCACCCATAAAATCATCAAATATGTAACGCCCCATGGGAATGTTTTACACAACCCCAAATCATCAACAACCTTAAGAAATAAGGGCTCTATGTTTCCTTGAACCTTTGACTTTGCTTTCAAAATTGTGGATAAGAAATACATGACAACCATCTTCTTCTTGTCTACACTGCTCCGCAATGACTCGAGTTTCTTTCTCACATCTGCGATTATTATGTTCACTTTCCTTCCAAACATCCTCTCCACAAACTTAAAATCCCCATTTTTCATATCCCTTAAATCTTCATAGTTGTTCGGGTAGTCATGGCAATCCTATCTTACAAACCATGGTATATTGCTCTGACCGAAGTAAAACTTCTCTGGTTACAGTGGTGTACTATAATCCTCATTATCCTGTGAATTCAAACTCAATTTTAATAAACAGTTAAAAAAAGAATACTTACTCAAACCTAGTTAAACCTAAATGTAGTTGTTCCCAATGGTCGTAGTTGAACCTAGCAAGCGTAGTTGAACTTGAAAGATCTAGCTGAACCTAGCCTATAGAGTTGAACCTAGCAATACATAGTTGAACCTAGCAAACAAAGTCGAACCTAGCAAACGTAGTTGAACCTAGCAAACTAAGTTAACCCAAACAAACATTGGAGATACTAATGTAGTTGAACCTAGAAAACGTAGTTGAACTTAACCAAAATAGTACTGACTTTTACCATTTCTCCAATATAGTACACACAACACAAATTCATTCTCAATTCTCAGTCTAAAAGTAAGCAAATGCATAAGTATATGTAAACTATACCTCTTGTTCGTGGCCAGACACATTCTCTTCCTCTTGTTCATGGCCATACACATTTTTTTCCTCTTGTTCGTGGCTATACACATTCTCTTCCTCTTCTTCGTGGCTAGACATATTCTCTTCCTCTTGTTTGTTCCCATCATCATTATTTGTGGAGTCCCTCTCTTCATCTGAGGTCGCTCTCATCTTTTCTGGAGTTTGGGTTTTCTCTTGTTCTGGAGTTTGGGGATTCTCTCCACTTATTTCAGGAGTCCATCTCTTCGATTTGTTCTCAATTTCTTGGACCTTCTGTTGAATCCTCTTCCACTTGTTCGTTTCCATCATCCTTATTTTTCTTAATCTCTTCTGATTCAGCGGTCTCACATAAATTCTCTGCACCTTCTGTTTGGTCTCTTTCCTGTGTTGAATCCTCTTTATTTAAGTCCATCTCTCTAGTGGTTGCTCCTTTGGTCTCTTCCACCTTTTGTTGAATCCTCTTCCTTGTCCCCACCGCAGGAGGAACAACTTCATTGTCGACTTTTGTTGAATTATCTGGAGTAACCGTTTGAGGATTTTTCGGATTGATTGCAGGAGGAACAACTTCATCGTCGACTTCTACTGGAGCCGTCGTTGCTGCATAGGTTTCAGGTTGAAGTGGAGCGGTTCATGCTTCTGTTGCACTTTCTGTGGGAGGAACAACTTTGACAGATTTGACGATTTCTGATTCTCTTGCCGAGGCTTCTGCTTTGTTCGTTGACCTCTTCTAGTTTGTATACCCTCCTATCGAATTTCACTTTAACCATATTTCAAAATCATATCCAAACCAAGAAGAGAGAAGTATCAGAATCGAGAAGACGAATCAAAGAAGTGATGCGGAGGAGATGAAAAATTGGAGAAAAGATTCGAAGGAGAAGATAAAGATCAAAGATAAATCGAGACGAAGATGATTGAGGGGAGGAGAGGAGAATGTTGTAAATATCAGACTCACAGCCGGATTGAATTGGATTCTTCGTTTGACAATGTGTGTTATGAAAAATTTAGAATTAAAGTTAATTTTATCGGATCCAATCCGGGTCATAAAATTTGGATGGACAAAACCCTGGTTGGGTTTGTAATAGTCTAATTTTTTGAAGGTTAAAGCTGTATTTGCTTTATTTTTATATTTAAAATAAAACAAAATTAAATAATTTATTATAACAATGACATATGAGATTAGTTTTTTTGGAGATGGTGGCATTTTAACCATTGATTCAATTTCCTAACTAGGTTATACGTGGTGCAACACATGGAGTGGGATTAGTTATGGGCTTTATTTTATTTTGTTGGACATTTTTTTAGAGATGAATTTGTTGTCAAATATGATGTAAACTGCTCTACCCTTATTGGGCTTTCAATATAATATGAAGATGACAAAAAAAAGATTAACTTATTCTTTGTCGAAAAGTCTGCTTCTGATTTTTTTTTTTTTGTACATCAAAGAAAAAAATTGTTTTCTTTTAAAAGATAAAGCTATGAAAAAATTGGTGGATTGATACTTTTTGAGTTTCTAATTAGAAAAGTGGGTACTCTTGAGTTTTAATAAGCTAAATGGATAAATCTCTTTCTCTCTCTATAGCAAATGACATATGTGTCTTTCAAAATTACCCATCCACATTCACCATTGACAAACTCGTTGACAAAAAAACTGGTACAAATGGTTTTCGACCAAACCATTTGGCCTGGAAAACCATATTCCAAGTTAGGCTTCGTTACAAGGACCGGACCACGCCTGAACTGGAGGGCCTGTTCGGAATACCCAACCGGCTTAAAAAAACTTTGGGAAGACACCGATTCTCCGTTAACAAAGACACGCCAAAGCGAGTATGGACAAAGAGATTGCGAGACAACCATAACCAATGAATTTAAAATTACGATAATGGGTCCCCGAAAACAAAGAGTTGGACAGAGGATGAAGACTCCCGTCACGGTGACCTCCACAGTGCTCAGAAGTACTGTAACACCACAGCCAGAGAAAACCGCCGTTGGCAAACTCAGCGTGGGCGGTAACAGATCCGAAAGTAAATGGGTCTAAATTTACTATCGGTATTTAATGTAAATACAACAATTCCGTCTCAATGACATGGGATTCATATCTGCGGATCGAGAATACCAAGCTCATATATCTACTTTGCAAACTAATTCCGAATCAGTATTAGTGTCTTCATCAGTTTCTTACCCAATTCTTGCATGCGGAAATAAGGATTCCACAAAATCGTTATTGTAATTGATGTAGATTCCCAGCGAATGATGAACCCAGATCGCGAGCAAGGCTGTAGTGGTTCCAAGACGCCTCCTAGCTGGCTGTTCGCTGCCAATTGTTACCCATTGGGTAGCCCACGTCTTAACATATACTCGAAAACCAACATGATCAGTCAAGTGATTGGGGCTTTGGGTGAGACCGAAGACGTGCAACAAATTCTTAACTCCCAGTTTGGCACCCTCTTACGGCTATCTGTTGCTAAATGCACTAACTCAGCAAAATTTCTTCACTCCCTCCTATCCCGCCAGCTTATAACAAAGAGGAGGTATAAGTTGTGGACAGTCTTTGGTAGCCAACCAATCCGGTTCTTGTTGCTGGACTTCAAGTGTGTGATAGGCCTTCAGTGCCGTCCATTCCCTAGCCAACCAATCCGGTTCTTGTTGGCGGACTTCAAGCGTGTGACAGGCCTTCAGTGCCGTCCATTCCCTGAAGATTTGAGAAGAGTAGGGGATAAGTTGAAGGCCTCAATGCCACCTGAGGAGAACCAAGTAAGAAAGTGATGTCTGAGATGTGGCGAAACCTGTTTGACAGGGACGATCCTATGGTTACAGCAAGTGATGCGCTTGAAATGCTGAAGGATCCCTCTTTAGCAGAGTAGAAACAGCTCACACTAGCTTATTGTATCTTACTGGACGGGGTCCTCATATGTCGAGACAAGAATCTGACAATCGCCCCCGAATATGTAGATATGATGCGCAATATGGAGTACTTTCTAGAGTTCCCGCGTGGTAGGAAATCCTTCGAGAAAACTCTCTCGAGATTTATCCTGTTGGACCGAACGAAGAAGTGCCCCTTGCGGAATTTAGAAACCGTTTGAAACAGAAAACCACTGCCTGTTATGGTTTTCCGCTGGCCTTGCAACTAGTTTTTTTTGAAGCAGTCCCAATGCTGCTTACTAAGATTCCCGAACCAGAAAATCTGATGGAGATTCTATCCGATTACGCCTTGCATAGTACTATAACACTTCTGCACATGAACGATGTCCTCGAGGTGGAGTCAGGCCCTAAGGTAAACACACCCTCCCCTTTCATATACTCCATATATTTTCACAACTGTTTTGATCTATATCAGCTTCATGCATATCTAGTGTACGACTCTGTTTCTATTGATATTTACGTGTGTACGCCTATGTCTTTGTATGTAGTAATAAGAGGAAGAGATATAATTCGATGTTATGTACTTGAACATTAAGCAATTGGATGTGCTTGCCAACATCAGAGATAAAGAAGATTCAAATGTTGGCTGAGATGACGAGGTGGAGGATGATGAAGTATCTTTCTTGTTGGAATTCATAAGGCGTAGTTATCAAATGAAGGATCCTGATCTCCCAGGCGGTGATACCTCTATACCACATGTTGGAGTGAAATCCTCAAATGTGGTGGAGAAACAGTAAACCCCATCTAACGCTGCAAAGAAAGAAAAAATGCCTCCCAAAGTGGGAAGAAAACCGGCCCCTAAGAGGCTCTGTCAACCAATGGCCAGAAAAGAGAAGAGTGGCGAAGGTTGTGTTGAAGAACAGGTTGCTTAAATTGTAAAGTACCTGAAAAGGTGGATGGTTGCACAGTTAGGCGAACTCAAACATGAGCTGGTGGATGCATTTCATGGGCGCCTCATCTCTACAGATAAGAAAAAAGAAACGTATGTCGTTGGAGAGAAAAACAAGGAGGATCTCCGAAGACAGAATAAAGTAACTAAACCTAATACTAGTGACTTTAGAAGACAGCGTTCAAATAGGCTACGGAAATCATTGGAGATGTAGAAAGAGTCAGCAGCAACAAGCTGTGGTGTTAGCAGCAAACGATGGAAGCTGATCATGGATGACGATGACGATGATATGTGCGATGGTGGATCCTGGTATAACTACGAATTTACAGAACATGTAATATGGGAACTTCAGAAAGATGTGGATGAAGGGAAAGGTGAAAAAGGAAAAGTTTGTGAACAAGAAGGAGGCTGAAGAAAAAGGTGTTGAAAATGAGAATGTGGGAGATGTTTCGAAAAAGGTTGAAGAACAAACTGAGGGTGATGAAGAGAAAGATGGTAATGAAGGAAAGTAAGGCTGAGGATGCGAGCAAAACTACGGAGCAATTCGTGGGTATGGCTAGTGTACGCCCAATCCAGCTTGAGGAGGTAACCACATACACTTAATTTTTTAAAAATGCATGAGAATTGTAATTTGTTCTGTGTAAAGATGAATTTGCAATTCCACTTTCAGATATTCGAGTATGAAGGCTGTCAGATAATCATTTGCAGCTGGTTCCTCTTGAGTATTTTGATGGTGAAAGGACTAAATCACCAGCGTACGTGATATCACATGTACAGTCGCATGTATACGGTACACCTCTTGAGACACCAGTTTATCATCGGGAAACCAAAAAGTTGAATTTCAGAGTTCTTCACAGACTCCAGCCCCAATGCGCGTACTATAGAGACCGAACATAATTGGTACAGTGTATATTGGTGATCTGCGTCTGAGGACTTTGTTCGCAAGTCGTACCAAAGGCGAATATGCTCCTATCCAAACCCTGCCGCAGAAGGAGGTCAAGAAATTTCTAGGCTTCTAGCACTTATTAACGAATCGAAAAGATGTAAGTTTTAATATTAAATCTTGACTTACATACTCAGCTTTAGTTATATTTTGACTGTTGATGTAAATAATTTTTCTCTAGGGAGTTCGAGATTATGACAGGACACATAGTGTCTAATAGTTTTTTTCTGGTCATTGCTAAGAAATAAAAGTGGCTGGATACTGATGTAAGAAACACGAAGTTTAAACATTTTGCACACATCTTAGGTTTGTTCAAAAAATATAATAATTATGTTTTTGGCTTTTGTTTTCAGCATTTGAAGGTCATTATGAGTATATTATCTCGCCGTAGAGGTGAGATTATGTTGAAAGACAAGGCAGCATTCGTAGATACTGCATTCTTAAACTTGGTTATATCGGTATACAAAAAATTCAAACAGGCAGGGAACAAAATCCAGTTCGACTGGGGAAAGAACATTGCCAGCTACATAACTGGAAAAAACAGGGGGAAAAAACTGAATATAGAGTTCTTAAGGTATGTCGATCTTGTGTACGGCCTAATGCACTGGGGAAAAGACCACTAGGTCAGTGTGGTGATAGACCTTTGGCTCAGCACTGTTGAGATTCTAGAGGCATATGTCGACCATAATGACAAGGATGAGGTAGTGCAGTCTTACATGGAACCACTACTTGAGAGTATACTATGGATCATGAAGCGGTACTTGCCGTATTCTATCACACATCACCGGAGTACGAAGGCGACTTGGACCCGTACTGAAGGTATATATCAAAACAAGAGGGCGGGGATTGCAGGCCATGTGCTGCAAATTTCTTAGAGATGCATGCTCTAGGTTTGGGAGTAGAGGAGATGGCTGTGATCACTGATAAGAATGTGGACAGATTTAGGGAGATATATGCTATGGAATGCTACGAGGAGTTCGTAAGCAATCTGTAACTTGCGAACAAGTGAAAAATTGTAGTGTCAAAATCATTATTTCAGTTATTTAGTATTTTGTGTACGTGCAACATACAACAATCCCCTTAATTATTCGAATCGAAGTATTAATGTAGACGGGTATAGGTAAAATGTATGAGCTTTTGTATTCGAATGGCCTTTTTATTTTCGGACGGGCTTATTTGGGCTCCGTAATGTGGGTGGCTTTAAATAAGTTTGACCATATGATTTAAATAAGTTTGAACACAAGATTTGAATAAGTTTGAATAGAAGATTTGAATAAGTTTGACATTCGAAAAAGAAAGTAAAGTCTAAGGTCTTGTCAAATAGACAGGTCTATCTACAGTAAAATAATGATATTCTGGGAAAATTTATTTGATAGGGTGTCGACATGTGTCCACCTTATCTGCTCCGTTTGGTTGTGGGTTGAAAATAAATTCTTCAACAGAAATACACTTTCATCCTTCTTCTTTGAAATCGTTGCTCCTCCATTCCAGAATACTTAGCTAAGATATTTAAGTATTTCAGACAACGAAATCGTCAAGTGGACTTAATGTCAGTTTGGGTATCCTCAATGTAAATGCTGTTATTTATTTTGGGCCGCATGTCGTATATGTGGTATGCTGTAAGAAAAACCAATTTATTTATCTGTTTACAATTACAATATTTTCATACGTGTACACAATGTATCCATACACATACATGATTTGTGTACACTTTATAAGCGTACACGTTTTACCCATACATTTTTACATGCATACACATTAAATGAGTGCACATTACTCCCATACACACAACCCACTCATAATTTAAAATGAAGGACAACGACAATAAATACATCATTTCTTCTTCGTAAAACAACTACCCACCCACCCTAATCCACCATTATATATACGTCCTTTCTTTCCCAAGTCTACAACAACAACGAAAAGCAATTTACATGAAAACAAAATGGCACTTCCACACTTACCAGATGAGATCATTTCTATAATCGTTGAAAAGGTTGGGGGAAACGAACATACAAGCTTGTGTATGGGAACAATATCCTTTGCACATGTAACTTGTATAGTGTGTGTCGCCATCCGATCCACATCAGTGTAGAAAGATAATGGAGACAATTCTTTGAAAAGTGTATCTAACAAAGTAACCCGTAAGCCATTTACTACGAGTCTCTTAGGTTGATAATCAAGTGTGCAAATATTTGTAGTTGAATTGATCTCATAGTACGTAATGTCCCAAAGCACGCTGATGCAACTCTTGCAGCTGCGCTATTCTCTGTTTGTGGTGGGGACTCGAATGAAGCAGCACACTATTTCCACTAGTTTGCTGAGAACCATGCACCACTACAATCGAGAAGACTTAAAGATCTTGCGGAGCATTTATTCTCGATGATGTCATGGTTTGATCCTCCATTCCTGAATTCGTACATTAGTAATTTCACTTTTCCTGATCCACTTTGGTCTGACTGTGCTTTGATGCATGATGACCCACTTTGCGATGAGTGCTACTTATATACGTGCGCTAGCCATGTTTGTGATATGCTGTAATGGGTTACAAAACTTTTATTTGTTCGAATTACTTATGTGGTCCAATATGTTTTAATTATATGATAATTAAGTGATGATAATGTATATCGTGATTATGTAGATGTCGTAATTATAACATTATTATGTGAAACTCTTATTATGTCTTATCTATTTTACGTCTAATTTATGGGTTATGTAATTTATATCTTACAAATCAGTTGAACGGGGTTACAACACGTGGCATCTTATCCACTCATACTGTCCATATTTATTTGCAAAGAAAGGACGCATCTTCATTTTAGATCTATGATCTTAACATATCTACTATTCCTGGTGAAATCTCTTCACCTCCATTTCAGCCTTCAATAATGACACTTCCAAACCTACTAGATGAAATCCTATCTATAATCCTTCAGAAGGTTGAGGAAGATGCATTTTGGCATCTAGGGCCGTTTATTAGAGCAAGGAAATGGACCTATCGCCTCAGTTACAGAAACGATGTCGTACAGACCTGTAACATCTGGTCACGTTGCCGAGATCCACTAGACATCCGACCTGGAGGAAGAGGGTGCCCTTTCTTTGCAAAATGTTTGGAACAAGGTAACCCTTATACAATTTAATTCGAATCTCTAATACTTGTATGCAACAGTGCAGAAATAAATGGTGGAGACGATCTCATGGAGCTAAACGTTCCAGAACACGCAGACGCCACTCTGGCAGCAGCAATTTTCAACGTTTGTGGTGGTGATGCAGACAGAGCTAGCAAACTCTTTCACCAGTTTGAAGTACACCACTCACCTCTACGAGCAGAAACGGTGAGATATATGGGAGAGGAGTTAATTTATTATATATCTTGGCATAGCTCCGGATGCAACAATACCCATGTAACTACTTTCTCTTACCTTGACAATGCACTTGTTAAGATGCCATAATGTGCTTTTGAACACGATCGTAATTTTGACCCATTTTGCAACGACTGCTACATATATTGGTGCGCTCGCCATATATATAACATGCTCTAATGGATATGCACCATTTTTCTAATGTTCTCAACGTTGTAATATACAGTGTTTAACTTTTTGCTTTCATAAATTCTTCTATTATGTACTCTGAGTTTAGTTTTATTTTCATGTCCTTTATTTTATGTATTTGGTTGGTAATGAAATCCTAGAATGAAAATGGATGTTTTAAGTACACTGAAAATAATTATCAGCGTACACCTATAATATCAAAAATAAATCGGAGATGTACACCAAATACTTGTAACCACCCAAGAACTGAGACCAACAATCCTCCTTCGCCAAAAATAGTACAAAAGGTATTAAATTCCAATCAGAACGTACACGATCATTCCATCAAACGAAACGTACATAAAGAAAACGCACATCAAACAAAACGTACACCAACCGAAACAGACACCAACAAAACGTACACCAACCGAAACGTACACTAATCAAAAACGTACACCATCAACCAAAACGTATACCAAATGGTTAATCAGAATGTACACCAATGGTCATCATCCCACTGGAACCGTGCAAGTAACCCGTTTATGTACCACTATGAAGCACCTCGTACATTTGTTGATTCTGGCTTTTTTTGTAAATACCTAGGATAAGTTAAGTGACAGAAGTTTCAATATAATTTTCATCTAAACTTTATTGACATTGGCCGGAATATATAGGTTAATGGGATTACTAGTATTTCGCCAACTGTAATTTTTTTTTTTGGGTGGCCTCCCAGGAGGACGCTTAGTCTTAGGAAGAAGAACTTCAACACCCTCTCTCACGTCAGTCGGAACATCAATGTCGTTTGGGTCTGGAACCGGTTGAATAATACCCGACAATGTCTTCTTCCACATGGACTTTCAATGCATGTCGCCTACTAAAGACTTATACAAGAGGTTACGAATGGTTGTTGCTGCTATTGCGTCTTGGCAAAGAATTTGGAGCGTCTGGAATTCATGACATGTACATGTTCTTTTAACTAGGAAAACATGGTGCACTACACCTGTCCTAGATGTAACTTCGAAATCTCACGTTGAGATTTCTGTAACAGTCCTAAGGACAAATTCAACTAGTTAGACAGCTCTTTCTATACTTCGAATGGAATATTACCATGCATTTTACTTATTTTTTTCCGTCTACTCTCATGCCACCTACTAAGCATCCACCTGATACACTTAAACAATGAAACAATAGGAATATCCCTCGCAGGAAGTGGGGTGTGGTTTAGGGATTCGACAATGTTACTAGACATCAAATTAAATCTCTCCCCCCCTCGAAGTAATATCTGGTCCAATGTTTTTTTATCTATTTTCTCCATGTGCTCCCAAGAATATATATCCACTAGCTTAAGCATCGCATAAATCTTCTTAAACTGGGATGGTCTGAATGCATCTCCTGCCAAACCTACCATCTCCTTTTGCCGTCTTTGTTTTTAAATTTGTTACCCACATTACTCTCTATGTGTACAAGACAGGCACCGTGTTTTGCAAGTGGATACCACGTTTCCTTTGCCGTATAGATAAAGCTGCATTGATCTGAGATTATGGTAACATCTACACCATCTCCAATGATCTCTTGTAATTTCTCGAAAAACCAACTCCAAGACTCGTCATTTTCACTATCCACAACAGCAAACAGAATAGAGAAGAGCTGGAAGTTCGCATCCTGTCCACTTGTTGTTAGTTGATAACCTTTGTACTTTTCAAACAGATGCATTCCATCCACCATCACCACCTTCCTCAAATATTTCCAGCCGTCAATACAAGACTTTAATGCAATGAATGAGAACTTAAATCGCGTCTGTCCTAATTTGTCCACCTCAGTATGTAAGTATGTTACTGTTCCTGGATTAGCATACCTGAGTACGAAAAAGTACACGGAAAGCAACTTGAACGAGTACTCATATGTTCCATGGGCTGTACAGACTGTCAACTCTCTTGCTTATATTGCACCAATCCTATACTCACTAAGTAATGCAGCCGGTAAATCCTTTTCCCTAGGTCCAACTAATATTGTATCATACTTTGATCTCAACAAAGCCGCAATAACTTTCGATGTTGCATGCTTTGAAAACTGCCCTCTACTATCTGAATTGTACACATGACCCAGTTTCACCTTCATTAGCTCATATAAATCAGAATCCCTGACTTTATGAGCCTTAACTCTCCAATCACACTTAGTGTCAATACATTTGGCATCAACATACAACTTCGCATGACAGTGAAACCTGAACCTAAACACCATCTTTATAGCATATATAGCCAACATGATTTTGAAAAATTCTTTGTTCTTAAACAATCTCCCTAGGTAAATGACATCATCTTCATACCTCAAATCAACATCGTGGATATTAAATAGAACACAAGTCATATCGTTAAATACAGCTGCCAGATCTTCATAACCAAATACATCTACCAACCTAATACCTATACTAACTGATTCCCAACCCATTCCATGGATACTTACA